GGGGGGGGCATGGTAGCAATGGTAAGTGGTGAATGGTTCAAGTAGAGAAAAGCGAACACAAAATAGGAAAATGTTTACCCAAGCTTGATTAATCAAAACCCTAATAACATAGAGTGAATAGGGAAGTTCTCATCCTCAAAAATGCAATCATTAAAGATATTTCTTTCATAAAAGAGATGACAATATTATTAGTCGTTTCTTATAAAATTTTATATCAGCTAAAGTCATCAATAATAATTCGAGCCCCATAATTGCAAGGGACAAAGCCGAATAATGGGGGTCTAAAGCTCTATTTTCTCAAGTAGGGAATCAACATAATAAATAATAGAGAGCGAAAATTAAGTGGAAGGCTTACTAAAAATAGTGTCATGAATGACCTATTTTCAATTCCTTGATGGATAAAGGATAGCCTTAAGCTCTTGATCCAGATTCTACAATAATTGCTCATTGAGAAATTGTTACATAGCCATTTCTCAAGGAAATAAATGCTAAGACGAGATGGAGAAGTAAAAAGGAAGAACATTTTAAACTCTCGCTCCATGAATACAAAAAAAAAAGTTTTAAAGAAGATCAAAGTCATTAACAATGAAACTGCTATGAAAGCCATGTATTTTCCATAAGGATAAATTTTGGTAGAGCATATTTGGCACTTTTTTTTTAATTTTTTTTTGGAGGGGGTCATTGAACTTTATTAGGGATATATTGTTGTTGTAAGGTGTGTCCGAAGATCTTGAGATGATGGATCTAGGAGAGGCATGGTTAAGGCTAGAAGAGAGGTTATCGGGAGATTTGGGTTAGAGATGAAAGACGAGTCATCCTATGTGGTAAATAGGAGGCAAAAGTTTATTTTTAAAGGTTTGTGATATCAAAGTAGTGGGGGAAAAGAACAATGGAAATGGTATGGAAGTAAGATTTAAGATAAGAGAGCAACAATGCAGGCTGAGAGGAGCATCTTCTACTATAACCATGAGAGAGAAGAGAGGTTAAACATTAATGTGACTGGAAGGGCATATGTGATGAAGTCACAACCTAAGCTTGGCATCAATTTTTAGTTGTATGAAAACTTGAGGCAAACTCTTACCCATTGTGTGATATTGATTTCATTAGACAGAATAAAATCATTAGCAACAAGAACACAAACTATAGCAAATGTAAGACGAAATTTATTTTTAGAGAGATCATCAGAGTCAAAGGAGTATCAATTTTACTAGAAAATTTAAAACTTCCAATAGAATTCCAACAAAAGTGAGAAAGATCTAAGAACTTAATCCATAAGGGGATAGAAGAGAATTCCTTCAGCAAAAGCCTAATATTTAATAACCATTTATGTGTGATAAAACGCTTCTAAAAAAAAAAGAAATCAAAGCCTTCCGATTAAATCCATATCATGATCTTAATAGGAAAATTTAGAGAGAAAAGTTCACCACTTTAAGAGAATATGTAAAGTTACATTTCAATTTAGACCACAATGAGTCAATACTTGATGAGATCATTGCATTTGCGAGACGTTTGACTTGGATCCAATTAACAAAATAGCACAAGAAAATAAGAAGGTAGACTTTAAACTCAAGGGCTATTAGTTGAAGCCCAACAAAATCCATCCCTCATAATGCCAAAAACCATGTATAATCATTTGATTAGTAAATACTAGTAGGTTCCATAGCATAAGCAACCCGTATTCTCAGCAAACTAGTTTATGTTTTTCTTCATCATGGGCTACTAATAGCCTTGCAAAGTAGCTATTACACTCTTCCTAATAAATCTCCATATGCTCATCATATCATTATGCCTAAGATATTGAGAAAGGGACACCTGACAAGGCAAGAGATATCTTACCACCCATAATAAGAGAATCTGTACCAATGCAAGATGCTTTTTGGTTAGCCTTCCACGGAGAGAACTCTCTAATGTTGGGTCCATATGATAGCTTAAGATGTAAGAAAAGGGAATTAAAACAGAGCAGTAAAATTCTTCTCGAAGCTCAATTAGAATGATTTTATTTTATTTTTTGAAGGGGGTGTACAAGAAGAGATGCAGCAATTAGTACTCATGAAGTGGAAATGATCATATAAAAAATTGGCATTCCCCATAGTAGATTGGCATTAATTTAGAAGATTGTAGCCATAGAATTAATAATTACTCTCATTAATACAACCATGGTTTATCCATATTGCAATGCTTCAGGTGCACTCAGACATTCTTTAACTTTCATCCATCAAATTTCTATTAACAGAAGCATTACCATCAAAACTAGAAAATGACTATTTTTACAGAATTTTAAGATAAGTTATTAAGTTAAAGAAGTAAATGAATGCATAAAAATGACAACATTTAAGAGACTTGTACAGTTCCAAACTTTAGATGATCAATCAATTTATCTATAGGCAAGTAACCAACCACATAACTGAGTCTAAGTTGATTGCAATGGGATTTTCCCATCCTATATTGCTGCTTTACTATTCTTAACTAAAAGTCAGTAGTGTGTGTCCCTGTTTGGACTCGATCATGTACTGTAGATGGCATCCTTTAGCTCACCTGTTGTTGATTCTCAAAAATTGGATAGGATTCATATGGTGCAAAATACATCATTGGATTATGAGGAATGGGAAGCCCGTAGCCACAGTAAATTTGAGGGCCATAATATAAACCATTCCATGTACTACTACGATCAGCTCGTGTCTGGAAAACATAAAAAACAAAAAAAGTTAGAGCTTCAAGTGCATTGGGTATTATGTAAGAAGTATAAATCTATGATAAAATATAAATAGTTTTTTTACATAACAGAAAAAATAGTGCATTGAATTTTGAATGAAGCTTAGCAAAGAAGATATTCTTATCATAGTATATCCATAAGACAAATTCAGAAAAAAAAAAAGGTGATAAAAGAAGAAAAATGGGTAGAAAAATGGGTAGTGAAGAATAAACACAGAGTTTAAAACATTTTCGCTTATATTTATTTAGTTCCCTAGTTGCAAACAGAGCACGAGGCAATTTTAATAAGTATTTATTTTCATTATCAATCTACAAGAGGACTAGTGTTTACATCAAGGCAAAGAATTCCTAATTTTTCCATGAAGTATTTATAGAAAATTTAGAGCTCTAAAAAAGAGAAAATCCCATTTGATCACAAGGGCTCATGAGAAGGGTCTATACTGCTCCACTCTTATTGTCATCTCCATGCTGATGGAAACCAGAAGGCATGCTTGCCCATGAACCATTGCAGCTATGTTAGGGATCGTTGACTCTGTGGTTGTAAGTGTTCGAACTCGAGCTCATTGATGTGAAGCATCCTCAAAATTGGATCCCTAAAATTTAACTACTTTGGCCGAACTCCAAAGTTGTAAAACAAAAAGACCATGCCTTTATGTTCTCAACCCCTCTAAGGACACTAATCCTAATTTCTTCTAGATGATCTATGTTCTAAGATAGCTCGATTACAACAACAAAGCCTTAATCCCACTATGTGGGGTCGGCTACATGAATCCTTTTTCTCCATTGCGTCCTATTTAGTGTCATATTTTCATTTAGTTCTAATAAATTAAAATCATTTTTTATACAATAAGCCCAAGTCTTCATAGGTCTACCTCTGTCTTTCTTAACGTAAGTCAAATCTAAAACATCTACTCTCCTAATCGGATCAGCAGATGGTCGACGTTTAATGTGACCAAACCATCTAAGACGACTTTCTCTAATTTTGTCCATCACATGAGCTACACCAACCCTATCACAGATATATCCATTTCTCACTTTGTCTCTAAGTGTAAAGCCACTCATCCACCTAATCATTCTCATCTTGTCAACACTTAACTTAGTATTATGCTTCTCTTTTAAAGGCCAAAATTCAGCTACATAGAGCATTGCAGGTTTCACCACCGTCTTATAAAATTTTTCTTTCAGTCTAAGCAGTACTTTTCTATCACACAAAAGGCCAGAAGCATTCCTCCACTTCAACCAACCAACTTGAATTCTACTATTAATATCTCCATCTATATCACCGTCGCTTTGAACAACAGACCCAAGATATCAATATCGTTCATACCTTTTAATAATTTGATCACCCAAGTTACACTTTTGTCACTAGAGCTATTACTACTAAAATAACATTCCATGTATTCAGTTTTAGTTCTGCTCAAATAAAGGTATTTATACTCCAATTTAGACCTCCATAATTCAAGTTTTTCTTGGGTTTTTTCTCTCATCTTATCTACAAGAAGGATATCATCAGCTACAAGAAGGATATCATTCAGCAAAAAGCATACACCAAGGAAAAATGAAGCTTCAATTTCGAAAGCTAGAGCAAATGGCATGTCTCGTGTAACTGATGACAGAGTAGTGTTGAGCGCCCATAAGATTCTAATAGCTCATCTATCCACTAATCTTTCTTGCTTTTATGTTTCTTCTCAAGGTGTTTAGACTTGCTTTGTTTTCAACATGAACTTATCACTTGGTATGTGGGTGGCTTATTAATGCTTGTTTATTTTAGATGGCTCATCATTGACATAAAATCCATTCATCTCCTTGTTCTTAGACTGAAGTCCACTGTAAGTTATGTTATCAAAACATGGAAGTCAAACAAGCTAAAAAATCAGATCACGAAAGGTCTTATGCTTGATGAGGTCATTGTTTTTGCGGGGGGCTTTACTTTGATCTAATTAATGAAGTAGCCCGCAAAATAATAAGGTATGAATTAGAATCAACAACCTTTAAAAGAGATCCAACAAAATCCACCCCCAATTATGTAAATTTCCATAAACCAGCGATCATGTATAACCATTTGATTAGTAAGTGTTAGATGGGCCTATGGTAGAAGTAACTCATATACTTCTTAGTAAACTAATTGATATATTTCATCATCATGGGCATATAATAGCCTTATGGATAGCTATGATGTTCCCTTTAATGTATCTCCCTGAGCTCATCATATTGGTAAGCCCAAGTCATTTCAAGTTCTCATGGAAGAATAATTTCTTATAAAGGGAGCCTTAAACAACATAGCATCCGGCAACTAACATAAGATTTGAGCCTCCATCATGTTAAACAAAGCCTTGCTCTTCAAGGGTTTGAAGATCGTCAACATTAAACTTTTGCATTAGAAAATCTCCATGGTATATGACTTCTTTATCAAAGGAACCAACAACTCTCCTACTAAGTCAAGAGGTCGATTAACCAATTTACCTCCCTTCAGCACGTGTTCCACTCAGAACTTCTTGAAATATAAGATCTTGAATTTTACTTTGGCTTGGAACCAAATCAGAATTTACTTCTTAATCACATAATTCCCCAATATGTGGTACATAGTTAATTATGATTTGTTGAGCAAATTTAACTTCTTGACCTCAAAACGTAATCCAATCCTTAGCCTCTCCAACATCGTTTGTACTTAGTTGATAGTAATAAAAACAAAATCTTGATGCATAGCTCAACAAATTCCCCTTGGGCTTCACAACATCACAATGATGATGCTAATCTTAACTTCTGATTATCTTCTAGCATCCAAAATAATCTCCTCTGATCTTGCTTTACTATCTAACTCCAACATGAAGTTGCAATGGACTCATCCAGGTCTTAATCTTTCCATATCATACTTAAAACATTTTGGAGTTAGAAATCCTTAAGTTCTACAAACAATTTCGTTAACATCCTAGAATTCTAAATTTTAAGCAAAATTTTCTTCATGGGTCGGCAAATTACTATTTGAACCAAATAAAATTGGAAGCAAGGGCTATACATACTACACAAAGTGACAAAAAATAATGGGTAGCTTTTCCATCACAAGATAATTCACTTGTGATCCAATTAAGGATTGGCTCAACATACATTTTCTAGATTATTCCTTAATTAACATGTGTTCCTCCTTTGGAGCTCGAAAATGTTTTCTACATTTACTAGGTAGCCTTCATGATCATTAATCTGAAGTGAATGAATATACATCAATGCATCCCTTCAAATGTTGTGAAAACAATCATTTCCTCATCATTGCGGGTGCTCTTGATTAGGTTATAACTTAAAAATGTATCATAGAGGGTGTGCCATCTGCTAACAAGTACATTAGTGAATCAAATATGTATAATGTGTTGGAATTATTGAGGTAAGATAGATATATGAAGTCGATACACATGTACCACTTCTCAATTGCTCTCTTCATCATCACCATAAGGGAGACCCATTTCATATACTCAAATTTGGATGAATCCTACATGAATAGCTTGTCTACTTTGCATTGATCTAGCGCCTTCTCTCAATATTAATGTCTCCTCTAGTTAATAGGTATTCCATTGAGGTGGGCATTCAGCCAGTCGCTTGTGATCAATATATCCACCAATGGCATCTTTGCTTGACGGCCATCGCTACAATTGGGATTGCTAGAAGGATCAAGGCCCCAAAGTAACTTTATTGAATTCATATATCATCTCTACATCTACATTAGGTTCACTTTGGCTATGGTTACTCTCAAACCGTCTAGGAACTTCACTAAAAGGTGATAGATAAAGAGCATGGTATTATCTATAAAGTAGGGGATGCCTAAATATTATTTTGGTAGTTGATGGGGACCACAAGACTATCAAGATGATTGCTTGAGACTCATATCATTGACCATCAAATCAAAAAAAAAACAAAGTTATTATTCCTTAAGGTCCTTAGGATTTTCCTAAGAGCCCATAAAAAGTGTTCCTCTAAACAGTCTAAGGCTATCGGAACCCTTGTAAAAGAGAATATTAATGGAGCTCTCATAATAAATGATTATTGGATATATCTAAAAGATAATTATAAAGATTCTTATAGTGACTACATCAATAAGTGTGTTCTAGTTCTAAGGACATTACTGAGGCCAGAAAGGATGTGGTTTGGGCCATTAACTATTTCCATACCATTTCATCTCTAGTGAGATTTCCTTAAGCATCATTAAATATCTTGACATGATCTATGCTTGGCATCTACCTTTTGGCGACCATACCTCCAAGGGCATCAAATGTCAACATCAAAGATAAGACATTTGAGAATTATAAAATAAACTTATTGTTGAAAATAAATTTTGATCACACTGTACTGAGAAGAGTTACTGAGAATACAAGACAAGAAAGAAGATGGAGAGTGAAAAGAAAAGAAAGAGAGGTACACAAAAACTGAATCCCTAGGCATGAAGCCCTTCTATTTCAATTTACTAAGTCCTAGGTTAGAAATAAAGTTTAAGGCTCTTTAAATTAGGGTTTTTATGTAAAATATCCTTGAAGGTGGCCAAGATCTATAGGGAGGTAAAACGTCTCCCCCTGTGGTATAATATGGAGAATTTATAGAGAGCTTATGATTTAATTATATAAAAAATTAAATCACACTACACTGAGAAGAGTTACTGAGAATACAAGACAAGAAAGGAGATGGAGAGTGAAAAGAAAAGAAAGAGAGGTACACCAAAACTGAATCCCTAGGCATGAAGCCCTTCTATTTCAATTTACTAAGTCCTAGGTTAGAAATAAAGTTTAAGGCTCTTTAAATTAGGGTTTTTATGTAAAATATCCGTGAAGGTGGCCAAGATCTATAGGGAGGTAAAACGTCTCCCCCTGTGGTATAATATGGAGAATTTATAGAGAGCTTATGATTTAATTATATAAAAAATTTCATTAATTGCATTGGCTCATGAATCCTCTAACTTAACTCCCACTAGATGGAATATCAAGAAGCATGCTAATTCACTAACCATTAAGGCTACATTAGGAAATATTGACCATGTGGGCATATGTTGAGTGGGCTGCCCTTTTCAAAGCAATCGGGATGGCAAAAGCATCAAATGTCAACATCAAAGATAAGACATTTGAGAATTATAAAAGAAACTTATTGTTGAAAATAAATTTTGATCACATTGTACTGAGAAGAGTTACTGAGAATACAAGACAAGAAATGAGATGGAGAGTGAAAAGAAAAGAAAGAGAGGTACACAAAAACTGAATCCCTAGGCATGAAGCCCTTCTATTTCAATTTACTAAGTCCTAGGTTAGAAATAAAGTTTAAGGCTCTTTAAATTAGGGTTTTTATGTAAAATATCCTTGAAGGTGGCCAAGATCTATAGGGAGGTAAAACGTCTCCCCCTGTGGTATAATATGGAGAATTTATAGAGAGCTTATGATTTAATTATATAAAAAATTAAATCACACTACACTGAGAAGAGTTACTGAGAATACAAGACAAGAAAGGAGATGGAGAGTGAAAAGAAAAGAAAGAGAGGTACACCAAAACTGAATCCCTAGGCATGAAGCCCTTCTATTTCAATTTACTAAGTCCTAGGTTAGAAATAAAGTTTAAGGCTCTTTAAATTAGGGTTTTTATGTAAAATATCCGTGAAGGTGGCCAAGATCTATAGGGAGGTAAAACGTCTCCCCCTGTGGTATAATATGGAGAATTTATAGAGAGCTTATGATTTAATTATATAAAAAATTTCATTAATTGCATTGGCTCATGAATCCTCTAACTTAACTCCCACTAGATGGAATATCAAGAAGCATGCTAATTCACTAACCATTAAGGCTACATTAGGAAATATTGACCATGTGGGCATATGTTGAGTGGGCTGCCCTTTTCAAAGCAATCGGGATGGCATAAGTGTTCTTTATGCTTTGTATCCAACCACCTATGAGTTTGAGTAGCTTACTGGTTGAGTGATTTGTAATTGTTAACCAATCACAATCATGGAATATGTCAATCATTTATCACTATAGAAGTTGGAAAAATGGAATGCTATTAAACGTTAGTTAGAAAAGGCAATCCACAGCCCACTATAGTTCCTTTTTGCCAAGCTCTAGGTTCTCGAGCTTTGTAGGCACTTAAGCAAACAATACCTATCAACAACATCTAACTCTTAGATGGGGTTGTGTCCTCAGATTCAAAGTGCAATGGGCTTTGGCTTAGAACTTGACCATGGCCCTAAAATTTTTTGCATTTATGCTCTCTCTGCCGACTACATGTTCTAGGTTCTTGACCTCTGTGTGGTGTTTGCGCCAGCAATCCTTATCAATAGTATATAACCCTTCTCGAACTGTGAGTTATGTGCCCTTGAGTTCACAGTGCAATAGGCATTGGCATGAAACCAATCCATGGCTATAAGGCGCCTCCATCAAACGAATAGTTGAACCAGTAACATGATATGAAATGGTGCTTAAAATCCCCTAAAATGAAAACAAAAACGAAAATTTTCAGTCCAAAAAGCTTCTATAAATTCAAACATCAAAATTATATAGGGGTATGCATGATTCCGCTAAAACCCATAAATCAAATCAAATTGATCTTATTTAATTTATTTGGATATTGGTTATTGATTGTAATTTTGAATCTCTTGATTTTTTTTTATTGTCAGTTTGGTCTATTCTTGCAAATCAGACTAAATAAAAAATCAAATTACATTATTTTTTTTTATATATTAAATCATTAAAAACATGCAAATAGTTGAAATAAAAGTCAACATAGATAATAATTATTCCACATGTTATAAATTTTAATAAAAATTGCTACCTAATATTCTTAAGATATATTATTTGAGCTAAGATAATTAGGTTCACTGTTAAAATTAATTACATTATAGTTCTTCCTGAACCAAACCAGATTAATCAAACTAAAGTTACTTTTGGTTTAGTATAGTTTGAAAACTAGTTTAGAGTGTTAATTTTTCCACGATTAACAACCAAAATCAACTGATTTAACTAATTCGCAAATCAAATCATCCAAACCGACCAAATGCACATCCCTACTATCATATCAATAATTGCTAGGAATAACAAAATGACAGATGTAAGGGAACAAAAAGAGAATAGATATGATATTTGAAAATTTGAACATGATTTAGAGGTTTCGCTACCTGCTTATTTGCTGTGTTGCGACCCCAGGATAAGCGTACCGCCTGCTTTCCAATAAGAGTTCCATTTAAAGACTGCAGTGCTTCCTCAGCATTATTCCTGACAAAAAATCCAGAAGAAATCCATTTACATAAAATTGAGAAAAACATGATAAACAAACGTACCTGTTCAGCTTCTTCAAAATCAGATTTGGATAAATATTTTAAAGACTATGTACCTATGCACAAATTGCACAAAACCACATTGTTTTCCAACTGGAATTTTTACTGAAGCAATATCTCCATACTGAGAAAAATTCTCCCTCAATTCATCTTCACTGACACAAGGGTCTAGCCCTCCAACAAATACCTAGAACAGAAATAAATCTCCAACACTGTTCTTTTTACATACGAGTCAAATAGAAAACACTCGGAGAAAAAAAATAGTACCGTTGTATTTGTTGAATCTCCATCAGATTGAGAAACTTGGGCAGATGAAACGTTGGAACCAAAACCACCTAGTGACATTGAAATTGAAATTATAAAGGGGGGAAAAAACTATATCCATTATTAAATAGTTATATGCTATTTAGGAATGTTGTATATCACGCCTCTTTTCTTTTTGTTAAACTTTAAGAGTTCCACTTTCGAAGAATGTTGTGATTAAATTTTGTTTATTTGGCCAAAGAAGAGAAATATTTTGCTTCGTCATGGAGAGTGCAAAGATGTTATAAACACAAGAAAAGTGTGAGAGCCAGAAATTTATATATTTAAACAATAGATAAAAAAACAGGTTCAATAGAGAAATCGGCATTCTATCATTTTGGAACAGTGCACTCCAAGGATTCAAGTAAAATAAAAATGTTAATTCGTTTGAACTAGTACAATCTAACTGATTGATTTTCAACCCAAATCAAACAAAAATGAACAGTTTAAAGTTCAAATAGCATTGTTATTCATCCTGAGTTTTATTATATAAATGCTAGTAAAGGAAATTTAAGATTCATTGTGTACTGGGGCAGGTTCGCATCAACTCAATGAAATGGAAAAACTGAGAAAGCAATATAAGAAAAAAGAAAGAAAGAAAAAAGAAAGTGCAGGATATTTAACAGAAGATCAACTAAAAAGGTAAAATTTTTGCAGTACGAATTGATCTTACTTTTAGTTCCATTCAAACGTAGCTACAATAATTGAGTATATGGAAAAGTCAAATAAAAGCAACATATCAGTAACGATTACTGGTAATTGCAGATCCTACAGCAAAGTTAGTTTGCAGATATGCGTGCTTAGCAAAAAAGCTTAATGTAATAGAATCTGAAATTTAACTTTTCAAGCAAAGAAAAATTTTAGCTGCACCCAAGATTAACAAGGACAGTTTGAAGTTTAATTCAATAAAAGGGAATGAACTCATTTACACAATAGTCAAACCAATGGACCAATATCCAGCAAAATTGAATCACAAACCTGAAAATACTCTTTAGCATGTGAGCAAAAATAGCATTAAATTTAGCCAAAACAGAATACAAAACAGGGCTTGCTGGTTGTTTTCATGAAACTTTGGTTTGACTAGAAATTGACTATAAAATTATCCAAAACAATATTTTACAAATATCTGTAATAATTTAGTGATTAATGGTACTCCATCAGTTAGTATATTTGGCTTAAACCTCTTTAAACTAGTAAGGATTTAATGGTTCAACTGGGATCAAATATTCCATATGTGGTTTGTTGCTCCCATGAATCTTGATAGCTTCTACAATAAGTCAGGCAGACAAAGTGGATGAGCCTTAATGATGTGTTATAATTCAGGAAAGTTGATGTCTTAAAGCATGGGGGCTGCAAGGTATATAGGAGCAATAGAGAGTAACAACTAAAACTAAGGAATACAAAAGAATCAGAAACTATTATCCTACCTTTTTCTCTCCTTTTACTTTCTCACCATTAAAAGAAAATAGAGTATGAACAAGTTGAGCAAAGGAAAATCACCATAACTGGTAAAGAAGGCAATGTGTTATCATTGTTATTATTGAAAGGAAATAAAAAATAAAAATAATAATGTAGCAAGGAAACAATTAAAGTAAACCATGCAAGCTAAGATTCAAACTGAGCAAATAAAAGCAACCATACTTGGAAAAGAAGACAACACATTACTATTGAAAAGCAATCATCAATAATAATAATAATAATAATGTAGCGAACAATTAATGTAAACCATTGAAAGGTAAGATTTCATTAAATTTCTGCTGCAAGTTTTACATATTATAAGCCTCTGCATGTTGTGGCATAAATAAATGGGATAATTACATACAGAGAACATGAAACATTGCTATTTACAAATCAAGCACCTAGGTAATTTTTTAAACTATGAAACTGATGCATTTACGCATGCCACGATCAAACCATGTGAATTTGATAAAAATAAAAATGAAAAATATGAGTTGGGGTTTTATCATGGCCTTGATATTTGAGTGATAAATTGAGAAATGGATGAAAGAGGGTGATTGATTTTTAAATAACAATATTTACGTAATCGCCCCTAAAGAAATACAAAAAATTAGATCCATATATATGTACCTGTATATATTTACATATGTGCGTATATCCAAAAATTTATCATGAAAATCTTGGATCTTAGCTAATCCATTAGGAAAACCTAAAATCTAATAAGCTAAGGACTTAGTATAGCATGACTACACAACTAGAGATGCACATACTGAATTCCCAATACTAGTAAGAGTTCAGCCTTGGCTAAGTCTTCATAATTCGCAATATAACATAGCTGATGAGAGATCATTGTTAATCATCATCATGCGGTCTGCAATGATTAATTTGGATTTTAAAACAAATCAGGAGCTCTGATCATCCCTCTAGTGATTTTCCATTAGAAAATCTCAAGGTTTAGGATTTAAATTATCAAAGATTAATTAAAAACCCAATATAGACTTTGAAAATTTGTAATAAATTCACTTGAACCATAAAAAATATGGTTTATATTGAAAAAATAATTTAAATAAAAATTTATTTTTAATTTTAATTTTAAATTATCATTTTTATGTTTAAATTTACATTTTAAAGCTTTATTAACTATTTCTTATAATTTTATGAGATTTTAAATTATAACAATTATGATAATTCATGATAAATTTTTTTAAGTTAATATTACTCGATATTTTCCTATGTTTTCAATTATAATAACTTTAGTTTATTTTAAAATTTATTTTGATCAATTCAAAGACAAAAAAATTTATGACTTACAGAAAATATCATAAATGATTTATTATTTAACTTATGATTTTATTTAATTTATATAAAAGGGATTATATAGGATACAAAAGTAAGAAATTTAACAAAAATTTCATAATATGTTTTAAAGAATAAATAATTTGGATATAAATTATCTAAGTCAAATTTAAATTACTAAAGTTAAAATGAGATTTTATAATATTTTAATTTATTAAATCCTATCCATGGACACCTTAGGGTAACATAACCTAGTTACCAAGGGTGCATTTAGGTAAAATCTAAGGTAACTTGCTAGGACTAGGCTTACATCAAGACTCTAGGTCAACGAACATAAACACATTTTCGAGACATGCACACACTAAATTGTTCATATTTAGACAAGGTTATGCTTGGATGTAAATCCTATATTATCACATATAAAGCTTATTTTATGAGCCACTCAACGCATGCTTTTACACTCATGCTTTTCTCAGATGCGCACACATGCATGCACATCATAACACCTATGGTACTAAATGTTTATACACAATCATAAGCATAATCTATCATAATGTCCTAAAACACAATATGCATGGTGGTATGATAGCAAACACATATTTTCATGTGTTGTATCATGGTAATACATTTTTTATGCATTGGATGTGCTCATACACTTGCCAAGCAGATTATTTTGTTTACAATGTGATATAACCATGACATTGTGTTGTACAGAGAATTTCTTCACTACATTGTGCTATACTTGTATCTGGAAGTAGAATGTGGTTAAATAAATAAACTTTCAGCTTAAAATGAATTATTTTAGAACAACTCATTGATCCATATTTTCTACTAACTTCAGTATCAATTTTCAGTTAATTTGTATCCTAGAAGAATAGTTGGAGCAGTTAAATGACAAATGTTGGCTTTGGTACACCAATGTAAGCAATGTGCATTAGGACCAGAAGCAAGCTAAATGGCAGAGCCTTGCCGATTTACAAAATAACATAATCGATAAACTCAGGACTTTTCTCCTCCTAAGAGAAGAAAGGTTATTCTCCCTCTTGACCTTTTCACCATTAAATTGTCAATATTCCATGCATTGCTGTCAACAGTGATATAAAAAACAAAGCTAGTTGTTTTCCACACACATTGTTTGCGTGCAAAGCGAGAGCATGTGACAAAGTTCACGTGTTACGTTCTATCGCATCGTTTCATAGCAGCGCACGTTCGACTCCAACCTAGAACAAAATCTCAATTTATATTCTTGGTTTGGTTCAACTTGAGCCGTAATAACACCATGGAGCAAACACTTCCTTTTATTGATGAATCATTAAAAAAGATGACATAAAATTATGAAACTAGATCAACATATATTTCTTATGCAGCAGATCACAATCAAAACTATCTTGATTTTGACGATTAATGCAATCTCGAAAACAAAAATGGGAGGAAACCAATCACCTACAATAAGAAAGGCATTTTTATCTATCTACCCAAAAAAAAAAATTTAGATTGTTCGTTAAAAGCATTAAGTTAGTGAGCTCGACGTAAGAAAGAAGTTGTCATGAAAAATTTTATAAATTATAGCATCCAACTACTTTCTTTATGCAAACAAAGATGAAGAAAAATAATTTATTAATTGGATTTTGCATGAAATGAATTGTTTTAAAACAAATATATGTGGGGTCATTTTTCTTACCAATTTTCCTCTTAATAAGTTTTCATACTTGACCTCCTAAAATTAAAACAAAACTTTTTGGTCTTCAATAATTCATTCATGATGTTCATTAATGGAAAACAAAGATAGTATGACTTCATAATTGAGATTGTGTGAAAATTATTACTAAAAATGCATGGAATTTTATTTAACATTATATTTGAAATAAGGTAAATGACTTTGATTTTCCAAAATCACTAAAGCATCCTAAACTATATGCTATTTATTTCTTAGCAATTGCTTACATGGAAGATCAAATAAAAATGTTGCTATTTATTTATGAATTTTCTCAAATTCAAATAGGTTGAATAAAATTCCATTTCCCTCATCAATGTGCATGTGCTCGCACACAAACAAGCGAAAATAAACATGCACAACGTTTCAAGCACAATCATAGCAACAACTAACCGCTTAAAATGCACATAACTATTAAAATTATTTTTTAGTCAAATTACATTACCTGTGAAAAAAAAAGTAATTCTATAAGTGATCAAAAAAAAAATCTTAATCAACAAGAGAAAAAAACGGAACATCTTAGCCCAAGTTAAAAAGTATAGCTTACTTGATTTTCTTGGAGTTGCAAAACCAATGCGCATGGGTCTACTGGAGCAATATACACCATTCATTTCAGTCATGGCATTAGTTTTCTCACTATCATCCCCAAATCTCACAAATCCATAGCCTTTAGAGCGTCCAGTGCTTGCATCAATAACAACTTTGGCACTTTTTACTGATGGATATTTGCTAGAAAAGGTATCTTGCAACAAGGTATCTGTAACATCAGGTGCTAAATCTCCCACAAATATAGAATGATCAGAAGCAGCATCTGAACGCTTATCACCCATGCTAAAAGATGACCAATTTAACCGAAATGGGTGATCTGCATTTGGCATCAGTTGGCCATTGAATGTTTGCAGTACCTTCTCAGCTGCAGCACGAGAACAAAATTCTACAAAACCATAACCCTCGGACTGTCCAGTCTGCTTATTTCTGATAACTTTTATAGAAATCAACTGCACAAAAATCATAAAGCCAAGAAATTTATGAAAAATGAAATACAGGAATTTTTAATTGTATAGTAAATGAGGCTCAACATTAAGAAATTTTTTCTAAATGAGAGCGCTTTCCTGGTAAGAGAGCTAAAACCAAATTTAAAGTTGACTGATAGTTTCATATTGAAAGCAGATAATGAGTGAAAAAGCTACAAATTTTAGATTAAATAGAAAATTTGGAAAAATAAAATGCACTAAAGTAGATGAAGGAATTAATCAATACATCCCTTCTTAGAATAAAATTGCATTTTTTTTCTCTAATCACAGACCTGGACTTAAACACAGAACAACACACCACAAAAACAAAGCCTTTTTCCCACTATGTATGGTCGGCTACATCCTTTTTTCTCCAATGAGTCCTATTGAGTGTTATTTTTTCATTTAATTTTAATAGATCAAGATCTTTTTTTTTTCTACAACATACCTAAGTCTTTTTAGGTCTACCTCTACCTTTTTTTCAAAAAAATCAAATCTAAAAACACTAACAAGATCAGCATCATCATATGGTCGACGTTTAATGTGACCAAACCATCTAATACGACTCTCTAATCTTGTTTGTCACTGGAGCAACACCAACCCTTTCACAGATATATTCATTCCGCATTTTGTCTCTAAGCGTAAAGTCACTCATCCAACTAAGCATTCTCACTAAGCATTCTCATCTCATTCTCATCTCAGCAACACTTAACTTAGTTTTATGCTTCTCTTTGATAGGCCAAAATGCTGCACTATAAAGCATTGCACGTCTCGCCATGTTATAATATTTTCCTTCAAGTCTAAGAGGTACTTTTCTATCACACAATAGGCTCGATGCATTCCTCCATTTCAACCATCTAACTTGAATTCTATTAATAAAATCCCCATATATATCACCATCACTTTGAATAATAGACTCCTTTTAATGGCTTAATCACCCATTGTTATAACCACATGACTAAAACTACTATTACTAACATTACATTCCATGTATTCAATTTTAGATCTACTAAAAAAAAGCCTTAAAACTCTAAAGTTAATCTCCATAATTCAAATTTTTCCTAAACTATTTCTCTCGTCTTACCCACCAGAAAGATATTATCAGCAAAAAGCATACATCAAGGTACATCCTACCATAAATGTCTAGTAAGAATATTCATAAGTAAAGAAAAAAGATATGGGATGTAATCCAACTGAAATAGGAAAATAATCGGTCAATCCTCATTCTATTTGAACACAATTAACAACTATAGTATACATATATTTTATGACTTGAGTATAGGTTATATCAACACACTTCTTTTCTATAACTCTCCAAAGTATTTATCTTGGTACCTTAAATCAACAAAAATCATATATAGATCCTCCTTACACACTTTGTACTTCATGAAACCTCTCAATAGATGTATAGTTTCCATGGCAGACTTGTCGAACATAAATCCAAACTGCTTTTAAGAATCCTTGTATGAAATGCGGTGTGCATTTTCAACTTTATTTTTTTCTTAGATTTTAATTATTTACCCATCAATTTTTTGTTTCTTGTAGAAGAGGACGTTCGGATCGAAGGTTTGCCAATTTTTGGTGACAGCAGAAATCCAACTATGGCGAGGGCTCTAAAACTCTAAGCGTCGATCGGCAGCGAGGAGAAGGTGGCCAACAGCATGGTTGATCCTGTGAAGATCCGGGAAGAAGTGGCTGAGGGACTCGGACATCCCCGAGAGCCCTGACTCATGTCTGGATGAGATGGAAATTGCTTTGGATTGGCGAGATGAGGAGTTTCGTGTAGTGCTGGCGGATATGCAAGGGGAGACAACCAATCTTCACCGAGAAATTTTAAAGCACCTTGAAGATGCTTTTGTACATAAGGCTCATTTTGAGGACGACCGAGGAAACCGGTTCAAGCTCAATGGTCAAATGTCATTTAGGGGGTTGGTTAGGAAGGGTTTAGTCCTCGATGAAGCGACCGAGGACCAGTTTGTGAAACATCTGCTATCATATTAAAATCCGAGTATAATTACCTTATTATTGAGATAAAATATTATATTTTTATCTTGATTTTGGTGTTGATGTGATGTTCTCACACGGCATTTCATCTTTCATTGGTTCGCTAAAAATAGGGACGAAGGGGTTCATTTGTGTGCTTGCTGACTTTTCTCTTTGAGTTCTATCGTTCAGTTTTCACCCCTTCGTTCATTTTTTTTTCTATTTGTTTCTGATACATCTAAAATATATAGCAGTTATGTACACATTTTTATACATATTTTTGAGAATATTGCGCTTTAATGGAATGTATTTGTATGTTTTTCTTTCAAGTACAATCAAATGAATGAAAAATAATGAAAAAAATGAAAAAAGATCAAATTTGGAGCAAAAATGAAGGTGTGTAGAAGAATTGTGGTGTCTTAGCACCCAGAACTAGCGTTGGAAAACCGAGAAGGTCGCACCTAAGTGTCACATATCTCGTGCTTAAACGCCAGAGGTAGTTACTTGATGATTCAATGAATTTGGACGAATTTTTGAAGAGGCGTTTGAAGCAACTCTTGGTGAAAACGTGGGATATGGTTAATGAACACGAAAATACATTGAATTAGCTTCTGAAAGAAGCCAACTTTTGGAAGATACATTGAATGTGGACACATTTTGAAGAGGCACCATGACATCATTTGAAAAATTATAAAAGAAAACTTGGATTGGATTGAAGAACTCACACACACACACACACCCCCAATGCCCCCATAAAGAGTTTCAATTAGCCCCAACGCCTCTCTCTCATAGATTAATTAGGATAATTTTTAGAGAGAAGAAGAGAGGAGTTGTAGTGTGTAAGTAGAAGAGTATTGTAAGAGAAAGAAAGAGAAGAGATGCAAAGGAACTTGAAGAGTTTGGTGGAGAGGATTTGAGATAAGTTTTTATCTTTGTAAGTACATTTAATTTTAATTTAGACTTTTTGTTTGTTTACATGATTTCTACTTTTAAACTTAAGTGTGGTTGTGTTTTATCCATGAATTCTGAGTAATTTTCTTTATTTTTTCCTTAAAATAATAAATAATTAAGTATTGAATGAAAATTGTGTGAAGTATTAATCTTTAATGTTGGAATAAGTTGTGATGATTTTAAACCTTGTACTTCATTTACTTCTTGATTTGGCCAATTAAGAAGTTAATATTTGTTGTGAGAACATGTAAGATCCTTGATGTTATTGTCTGAGTAAATTAATGGTAAGAATCACATGAGATTGTATGAATGAGAATGTAATTCATATGGTAGAGTGCAAATAAAAAGGGAAATAAATTTTGAAGAGCGTAGAATTAGAGGACTTTAGAGTGACAGACTAAAGCCCCCAATTTGGTTTATAGTTTTAGGTTTTGATACGAGATGTTAGCCCCCAGGTAGAGGTAGAAGAGGGAACTCTAGAGTGAGAGCTAGTATATTCCCTACCTAACCCGTCTTCAAGACTATTCAAACTTTAAATTAGTCAATATTCTTTATAGCATCTCTAGTAACTTTAAGGAATATTATTGCTCCTATTTGGCACAACACAATTAAAATACTTCCACAACAGAATTTCTATACTTATTACTCATTCATGATAAGGAAAAAGATATTTTATGAAAATATTTTTTTATATTGCCTTCATTTTACAAACATCTAGTTAAATTTAGTTAGTTGTTTATTTTATTTTCAATTATAAAAAATTACCAAAAAAATCAAATTTTCATTCCTATTATAACATTTATAGTTTGAGTAAAAATATTTTGCAAAAGTTGAATTTGTTATCTAATTTCTTCTGACTTATTAAAAAATTGAATTTCTCCATGTGGGTTCGATATTCGAGACTTAATAAAAAAATTCTATATTAATAGATAACGATATGTATACTTGCATAGTATCCCATAATTAAATAAAATAATTGCATTCTTATTTGCTTTGAAGTTAAGTTTTTGGTGTCGTTGCAAAGTAAAGAAAAATTAATATTATAACCGAATACATAGAACTGTCATATAAAATCAGGATCAATTTCCTCCTTTCGTTCTTCTGATGGCTCTAAAGTGAACTCCCCAGACTTTTGGTTTGGTACCTGCGACAGAGTGGTTGATCTTGTCTCCGTTTGAGGATGCTTTTGTGAAGGAGGCCTTCTTCTTCGACTTGGCCATCAGATTTAGAGCCGCTCACCCAGATGAGAGGGCGACTAATAGGTTTGGCGAAGACTTGGTGATTTACAAAGTTCAACTATGATATGGAATGTGCCTTTATGCCAAGAGCTTAAGGCGATTTTCAACTTATACGAGGTCATCTCGGCACGGATCAAGCCGAACTTGATCGTGGCGATAATGACCTATGTTGTTTTCTGCCGGCGAAAGGGAATCCCATGATCGAATGATCACATGTTTTCTTTCTCAGTGGAGTCAGACGAATACGTACAATTTGGGACAGTCAGTTGATTCCAATTTTCAGGTTTGGAAAAAAAGATAAGACTGGAAGTATAAGTTTCCCATTGCCTCATCTTCTGAGAGTTGGGACAACATGCCCATGTTGACCAGTAAAGCGAGCTGATATTAATGAACAACTACTCTCAATTCCCCATTCTATTGATATTAAGCGGGAGAGAGAAGTTGCTGCTCGGACAGCCAGAAAAAAGGCCAAAGCTAAGGCCAAGACAAAATGAGTTCCTGAATAGAAAGTTGCGGTGACCGAAAGAATGTCGGTCGAGGCCCGCGGCAAAGTAATCAGCTCAGTTTGTGAGGGACTTTCTTTTCTCTATTTATGCAACCACAATGGTAATCCAACAAATTTTGATTGATGAACTAACAATCATTACAGGGAGAAATTTGGCCATGCTAACTTTGATACATATCTGCTCAATGCAGATCCTTCAAGCGTGGGTCGTCAAGAACATAGGGAGCCATCCAGTCGCCCAAAGGAGAGTGGAGCTAAAGAATCTTCCGAGGAAGGGGCAAGAGAACAGTCGGCTTTGCCCTGCCACA